CTGCGCTGCTGTCTCCACAGGACCAGGTAGGACAGATGAGGACAGACGGGGAAATGTGCCTGGACCCTGCCAAGCACTGTGCGCCCCAGCCCCACTGCCACGGAGAGCCTGGCTCTGGCTGTCCCAGTCCCCGCAGCAGACACGGTGCAGACCCAGGGGTGGGTACCCCAAGCCTGAACACCCGTGTCCCCACTCTGTCCTCCTGCCTTGAGGGACACCTGTCTCCGGTGGATGGAGCCAGCAGTCCCACAGGACCCATTGCTCCCCATGGAACTTCATCCACCCCTACTGATGTCCCCAAGTCCCCATGCCTGTGCTGAGCCCCGACTCCTGCTCCTTCCCTGCCAGATGCTCAGTCTCCACCGCCAAGTCCCTGCTCTTCTTTCCTTCCTGCACTGGCTGCCCCGCTACCCGTTCAAGGACTGGCTCCTGGGAGACATCATCTCGGGCTTCAGTGTGGGCATCATGCACCTGCCCCAGGGTAAGCAATGCCATGCCCAGGCTGCCGGGGGCTCCCCACAGTTGGGGGGCCAGGGCTCGGCCAACCATGACATGTCTCGCTTCTCCACCATGTCCAGGGCTTGCCTACGCGCTGCTGGCTGGGCTGCCGGCTGTCACCGGTCTCTATTCCTCCTTCTACCCCGTCTTCCTCTACTTCTTCTTCGGGACATCCAGGCACAATTCCGTGGGTGAGCTGAGGGACCACGTGCTCCCACGGGGACAGCGGGGAGGGAGTGAGAATGCAAGGGGCGAGCCTTCATCCAGGGCACAGCATTGCCACACCAACGAGCGGGAGTGGCCGTTCTTACATCGCCCTACCAAGAAGGCGGTTGGCCAAAGCAGAGCCAAAGCACAGTGGGTGCGCTTTGAGCTTGGCCCAAGGCGACAGGTGCCTGGGGACCTCAGAAAGCTCCTAGTGCTAACCTTGGGCTCCCTGCCCACCCCCTGCCTGTCTCCAGGCCCCTTTGCCGTCATCTCTGTCATGATTGGAAGCCTGACGGAGTCCCTGTTGCCCAGCGAGATGTTCATGGAGTCCA